GGGAAAGAGGGTGGGGAAGGGGGAGAAGAGACCATGAAAAGGAAACATCAGACTCTTTAAACAGAATCAGCCAACCAACCTTTAGGATTTCACTGTGTAACAAAGCTGTACCATATACTCATTGTGCAGGGATAGTATAGTCTAATTTTATTGTACAAAGCTCATGTATGCGGTTGGCACTGAATCATTTAATCAGTATCAAGTCAATGATTTATTAGACAATGTTGTGATAGATTATTTACCACACCTCTCTCTGAAATGTTTTAACATAAATAGTATCATTCACAAGAGCAGAAATGCATGAACTCGCTGCCACAGAAATGGCCAGTGGTAAATCTGACCCATTCAAAATTTCTTTTAGAATTTCTGCTCACCTGATGGGATTGCAGGAGTATTCCCTAAAAAGTTAAGCCATTTTTAAATAAAGTACATTCAGACAGTAACTGCAGATCTCCTAAAATCTGATAAGTCCCACATCAAGAATACAACTGCATCCTCTAAACAACATCTGGCCAGAAAGACTTAGCTGCCTCCAAAACTGTATGTTGAGCAATAACACACGCACTAACAAATACACACTCACTCTAGCATAAAGCATGATGAAGCACCATTGCAGCTAAAAGATTAACTAGGAAAGATTTTCACTCTTCAATTTCAAAGCATGGCCAGAGTTAGTACTTTCAAACAATATTTAGGTTGAATATTTAAGTATGAAATAAATATAAAGAAGAAATCTGTTTCAGCAGAAAGGGAAAATACCCATAAAGTCCTCCTAAGTTCCGCATCTGGGAGCTCAGTTGCCAGTTTAAGGTTTTCAAAGCTGATTTTCTCTCGAGGTCTTTGGTTCCATGCAAAGAGCACAGCCAGCTGAAATGTTGTTACCTCTAAGTCATACTGGCCAACCTCATTCTTAAATGTTATCTGAAAATGGAAAAAATACATCTAAATATCTGTTTGCCAGGTTTTTTGGGTGTACAAAATTATTACTGTACAAAGATTGTATATATTAAAATGAATAGTGAACTCGATATACTTACAATTCCATTAGACATGAGATGATGCCAGTGCAGTTTTCTGCCACTGTGATTCTTTTTGTAGAACTCTTCTACCTCTGGGATGAGGTCTTCTAGTTCCGTGGGTAGCGATACAAATACTTTCTCAGAACTTCGAGACCAGGCACCAGCATTTAAAATTTTAATATTCACAGAGTCAGCTAAAAAAACCCCACACAGTATTAAAATATGTTAATCTGAAATTATATCACCAAACTAGATAGCACAGGAGCATTTTAACGTTTTTTGACCTCAAAGTAAGATTTGTTCTGACTGCCTATGCTCAAACTTAAGCCTAAACAGTATAGAAATTCCATAGAATACTAGAACTGGAAGGGACCTTGAGAGGTCATTGAGTCCAGTCCCCTGCCCTCATGGCAGGACCAAGCACAGTCTAGATCATCTAGGTGTCTGTCTAACCTGCTCTTAAATATCTCCAGAGATGGAGATTCCACAGCCCCCTAGGCAATTTATTCCAATGTTTAACCACCCTGACAGGCAGGAAGTTTTTCTTGACATCCAACCTAAACCTACCTTGCAGCAATTTAAGCCTATTGCTTCTTGTCCTATCCTCAGAGGCCAAGAACAACAATTTTTTTGCTTCCTCCTTATAAGACCTTTTTAGATACTTGAAAACCACTTGTCCCCTGTCTTTTCTTTTCTAAACTAAACAAACCCAATTCTTTCAATCATCCCTCATAGCTCATCTTTTTAAAAAACTGTTCTTTAATGTGATGAATAAACAAACATCAAAACACGTTTGAGAACAATACCTGGTAGAGCCAGTTTATTATTTTTATGCATTTCTTTGAAGGCCTGGTTCAAGTCTTCAGATACTTTGATATCTTGGAACATCCTAGCCAACTTGTTTACATAATCTGCTGGCATACCTACTTCCTGTATAAAGATGACATATTATACCAAAACAGCAAAGTCTTTAAAATAAAAGCTTGCATACAGTCTTGACATTTATAATTATTTAAAAATAAATAACTTCAATAAAAACAGACCGTAGCATGTTGTGATATAAAGAGAAAGACTGCAATTTGCTATCATAAGAACATCAAATCAGGGCTGAAAAAAAATTCAAACACTTTCAATAATCAACATAAAATAGGGAAAAAAATAGCCTGGTGAATCCTATAAGTTGACGGGGCTTAACCAAAAAGTTAAAAGGTATGCAAATAAACATGCATAATATACAGTTAACTTACTTGTGATTTCCATGAACATGCTCACAAATCTGTTATTTGGTTGACTGAACAATCAGTTAGCAGCATATCTGGTCACCTAGACGTATAAATCCCTGATGACTTCACAATTTTTGCACATCTAGCCCTAAGGCAAGAACTAGCAATGTAAAAGGTTACCTGGTAAGCATTAGGCTTATCGGGTAATGGGTTGGATGGCCATCTGGAACAGCCCTGGTTGCATCAGGTTGGCCAGCTGGATCCTGACAGACCATGTCAGGGTGAAGCAAGGCAGAGTCTGTGTTGGGCAGATAGGACCCTGGCCCCGGCTACCTCAGAGTAGCCCAGGTAGCTGGGCAGAACCCCAGCCCTGGCTGCCATCCACCTACCCAGGTTAACTGGTTAAATGGTATAAATTTTAGTTAACTATTTTAGTGGATATTTACATCCCTAGCAGCAACTAATCTGATGACAGTTTCAAGTCACACAGTTTGTCTAACTATCACCCAATGTAACAAGAGCGCACATGCAAGATTCTACAGAATCATTTTCAGAAAAATCAAATCCCACATATATGGACCTCTATGTAAAGAATTATGATTATGCAGCAGGATACAGGATTAGCCATTAAAACTGCATATGCTTCCAGTATAAAAAAGTTTTTATGAAAGGATATAGTTTGTGTGTTCATGCAGTAAATCCGTTCTCTCTGGGCATTTTTCCCATATTAAACCACAACTCATATTGCTCTACATAACCCTTTACATCCATTATACTAAAATAATTCATAAAACACTGGCCTCATTTTCATAATAAATTAAATTTTAACCAGTAGCTAAGTTTTTTTTTTTTTTAAAGTTTCTTTATTGGCGAGAGAAGATTTTTTAAATAATCCATGGATCCTGTTCTATATCTGAAAAGTGCTGAAATGTAAACAGAGGCATAAAATACCCCAAATGGGCTATAACTTAAAACAGAAAAAGTCACATGACAGGAGAAACATTTAAACTTAAAAATAAAAAACTGATCAGCAGTAACAGGAAGTAAGTTTCAGTATACTTACTCTCAGCCATTCCACCATATTCTCTTCAATTTCACTATCAGCTGATATATCTAGTATCAGACGTCTTGTTAAATGAGCCTTATGGTATCGCATGAACACATCCTTATTCTGTACATATTTAAGTACCAATAGCTGTTAAAAATAGATTTCAATGCCTATTTATTTTCATGCCAAATCAATCCACTTGATTTACAGTTTTCTTCAAAATTGGTTAAACATATTACCATAAAACGAAACTATGCAAGGCTACTTCAGATTTCCTTACAAAAGAATCACGGTACACTTACTGCACCAATTTTACAACTGGTGATTAGCTTCAGAATCACCAATTTCTTCTATTGAATCACTGAGGAGCAAGCCTTTTATTGGTGCATCAGCTCTGCTTTGTATATAAACTTTAATTTCCTGTCTACATTTTCAGATTCTTGTCTATTATATACGTTATGCATCATGTATATGTGACTTGTATTAGTGTAATACACTACATGTAAATTGTAAACTAGCACATGGACACTGCTGTTTTGTGATAGCATATGGACATATCAATACTCTGGAAGTTTCAGTTTACATAATAACTATTAATATTCTAATGGCAATATTTTTGAAGATGAAATCCTTAAAAGCGGTCTATAAAAATAAAGCAACAGCTTAATTAAAAATAAAGAGCATTCCCATACCACTTCTTTAAGCTTTGCTTCAATTTCTTCAGAAGTTAGTTTTTTGCTTAGTGGTGTTTTTCTTAACAGCATGTCACAGTAATTCGCAAGTAGTTCAGGGCATTTAGACTCAGGCTGTGTTTTCAATCCAACCCTAAAAGCAACATGAAATAAAAATGCCATAAAACTGAAGAGAAACTTGCTATACCACGTTAACACAAGAAACTAAGATTAAAGGGAAGGGAATACATGACAAGGTAAGAGATCCTAGATTAAACTGTTCCAAAATGAAAGGTAATTTCATCTTCCATTGCTCCTAACACAACTCCATTCAGTCAAACAATAACCAAAAAATGACCAATTGTTTCCAAGGGTCTCTTCCTCTAGGTTCACTTCAACTAATGTCATCTGGTAATTTCAGAACTGCAATTAGCAAGGATTAATTCCAAACTGCAATTTGCATAAACATCTGAAAGGTGGGTGTCCACATACTGGTTAGAGTTCCAGAAAAGAACAATTAAATGAGGAATGCATTTTCTGTGTCTTCCTGCTACTAGTGCAGTCTGATAACAGAGAAACATATTTCATAGAAGCTAGAGAGCAAGTCATTTCTGTCACAGAAACATCAAGACAGTATTGGACACAAACCACTGGAAAATGGCTCAGACAGCAGATCTGAAATCTCGCAACTATAGGCCGTATTAGCAGAACTATAATATTAAAACTAGTGTGTCTCAGGGTATACAAGGGACACAAGGTGGCAGTCTTATGGCACACTTTGAATAACTCAGTGATTTTAGGACAAAAACAGCTTGGAGTACAGGACTGTCTTACGACCATATAAAGTTTTCAGAAATGAAAGTATAGTTACTCTAGGTTACTAGACGTCCTCAAGTCTTGGCTTTGGAATAGTTTTAGATTTTCTCAATGGTGGGATCATGCTGCTTTTCAACAGGTCTCAAAGCTTTATTTTGTCTGCTCAAGGTTTAGGGCACAAAGTAGGCAGGAGAACATCCTACTTAAAGTAAAACATCCTGGGACAAATTCATGGAAAGAATGACAAGCAAAAGAATTCTGGAAAGGAAGGTGACAATAAAAATAGCCACTGTTCTATCACTCAGATTAATATTATGACCTCTAGGCAAACTATGAGCAAGGAATGTCACTAGTGGTTCAAGTGTAAAAGAGGGTGTGGTAGAAAGGCTGAGCTGTGAAAGAATCAGATGGTGGTTCTAGAGATGCACAACCGACTTAATTAGGAATCTATGTTTGGAAATTGTATTAAGACCTAAGTTTTCACTCACCAAGTGGAATCCTCTATACATTACCCTCATACAGGGGTAGGCAAATACTGGCCTGCGGGCCGGATCCTGTCTGCCAGGGTTAGTCCATGATGGGCCCCCACCTCTATATTCACCTGTGCCTCCGCAGGTATCAGATAATCGCCGCTGTGTTCACGACCAATGGGAACAGCAGGAAGCAGTGTCCCAGTCTGTGCCACTTCCCACTTCTTCCATTTGCCACAAACAGTGATTCACAGCCAACAAGAGCTGTGATCGCCCACAACCTGCAGAAGTATAGGTAAAGATAGCTGTGGCGACCCACTAGGGACTAACCACTTTTTTACTGCCTACCCCTGCCCTAATACATATAAACAGTATGTGAAAACTGGGCTCCAGGCTTCTGCCAAATGAGTTCCTTTAGTAAGTTGGGCAATCTTTTACTGACTGCAGTTTACTCCAGGCTAGGTTAGCAAAAGCATGAGATTGTGCTGCACATACCCTTTGAAACGCTATGCAAAGTTTTTCAGATTAGGGACTGGAAGACAAACAAATGTGGGTAAAAGTTCTGATGATGAACAACAGATCTGCCAAATCCATATGAACACCAAAGAATGTTGTGAGACGCTGACTGTAGGAATACTAGAGAAAATATTCTGTTTGAGTTGTTTGAGGGGAAACTGTAGCAGGGTAACCCAAGAAAGCATAGATGCAAACCCACCAAGGTCAGACAGTGGCCTAGAGGCTGAGCTCAGTGTCTACCTTTACCAGGAAAGAAAATCAGTGTTGACCAGGTTGGAGATAAAAATCATGCCAGAAGCAGTCAGTCAGAATTCAAGGTGCAATGCATAGGTGTGTGCACAGCACATTTCATTAGCGTGTGCAACCAGGGAATTTTATTTATTTATTTTCTTAAAGGTGAACATTTGTTGAATAGTCAATCATAAAGGACATTATTTTTATTCAAACAAACAAACGAACTAAAGAAACTAAAACTTAACTAAACCGGGATACCCTTCCTCCTCACACACAACCAGGGCTCCCAGCGCCAATCGCGCCCGGGCTCCCAGCTACTCCCTCCACCAGGCTTCCGGGCACCCAGTCGGAAAACCAGAAAATACCGGACATTGCATATGTCCGGTATTTTCTAGATTTTTTTTTTTTTTACAAGACAGAGCCCAAAAAAAGCAGACTGTCCGGTAGAAAACCGGACACCTGGCAACCCTAAGGCATTAGGGTGTGCCTGGGCACACCCCGTACACACGCCAGTAGTGCTATGGCAGGGGTCAGCAACCCCTGGCATGTGTGCCATAAGCGGCATGTGAGCCGATTTTTACTGGCACACAGGGCTGAAGCTCAGCCTGCCCCTCTCCCCAGGCAATGGGGAGCCAGTGCTGCAGCTCTAGCCTCAGCCCTTCAGCTGCAAGGTGGAGCACCAGCTCCAGCTTCCTGTTGCAGGGCAGGAGGGTGGGAGACACACACACGTATGTCTCTGGGGCTGCCTCCTACTTCTGGAGGAGGTGGGGCTAGGCCTGCTCTGCAGAGCCGGGAATGGGTGGCTGGCACATATAACACGCCAGGGCCCAGGCTGAGCCACACCACTCCCCTGCTGGCAGAGGCTGAGCCGGGGGGGGGGGGGGGGGCTCCCCCTAGCACTGCTCCTGGGGGCTGGGAGCCCAGCACTGCTGACCTGCTGGTGAGTGTGCTGGCGGCACAAGGATGTGGGGGGGGAAGGAAAATGCAGGGCCGGGGTTGCACTGAGGGGCATAGGGTGATGCAAGGGATTAGGCTGAGGGAGCAGGATGGGAGGGTGCAGGGGTTGCACTGAGGGGCATAGGGCGATGTAGGAAATCAGGCTGAGGGGGGGGATCATGGGGCGAAGGGGAGCAAGGCTGGAGCAGAAAGAAGATGTGAGGGAGTATACAATTTTGCTTTGCAGAAGATGCACTTTCCTTTACTCCCCACTTCTTTGCCTCCCTCCCAACTAGCTATTTGGCTGTATTCTCACCCTCTCACCTTTTCTGCATTACTCCCCCAGACTCCTCCCAACCCCAAACTCCCTCTCATACCCCCACCCCATCCTGAACCCTATCTGCTGTCCAGATCCCACACCCTCATCTCTATCCCACTTGCTCGCAGCCCTGTCCCGCACATTGAACTCCTCATTTTTGTTCCTACCCTAGAGCCTATGGTGGGTGGTGTCCACAAAATCCACTAACTCTAGAACTCCAGAAAAGTATATCTGGCCGATAGGAAGCCCTGAACCCTAGTATTCCCTGTTCATTCCCCTCACCCCAGGGGGGCTGGAGCACCAGAAGAATGACGTGTCTCAGTTGGGGGCCTCATCAGTGAGGTTTGGGGGTTTGGGGAGGAGTTTTTTTTGCTTCTAACTTGTGTGGTCCCCAACTGATTTTTCTGTGTGTCAGTAATACCCAAAACCAAAAAAGGTTCTCCATCCCTGCCATAAAACATTGAAACCTTTTGTGTTGGACATAATATTTTACTTTATTTAAAATGAAGTTTGATAAACGAATACGAAAAGTTAAAACACTTAATCTGTTTAAAAATGTAAATTAAACCGTTCGCCCCAGCTGCAGCACTAGCAACATGGCTCAGGTGTAATTATATAATTAACAGTGAGTTTCCATTAGCAATTGGTTGTTTGCATTGACCCAGGTGGCCCGCAGGACACACCATGGACAGAGCCCATCCCCCTCCCAGAGAGGGCAGCACAGCCCAGGGCAGAAGGATTGTATCTTGGAAGGCCACTTCGGACAAGCTGCTGATCCCTATGCTTTGGATTCAAAGCCCTGCTGGGAGAAAAGATGATGAGCACCAGGAAACTCGTGATAGCAGATGTGGGAAAAGCCCAAGCTAAGTATAAAGCAACTGCTTGGGGAAATGCAAAGAAAATGGAGGGAGAAATGTCCCCTTAGTCTATAGCTTCAGGGTGGTCCGTCAAGATGAATCACTGAACCAAAATGGGAATGGAAGAGGTTGCACAGCTCACCACTCTTCAGCAGGTTCAAAGAAGAGATATCACCTCATCTGACAAGAGAAACTGCTCCCTTGTCAGAAGCACTGAGATACTAATAACCCCTCTGTAGTCCCTCATGGGCCCCCACCTCTGCAGGGGGCCATGCCTCTCATAGCTGATCCGGTCAAGTAAAAAATATTGGGGTGTCAAGGGCTGTGGTGGACCCAGGAACTCTACCAAGTCCTGGCAAACTGTGGTGATTCAGCACTCGGATCCTCCCTCACAGCAGTCAGTTTACTGTCCAACAAGGCTAGACTACATCCCTCTTTCAAAAGAGGGATGTAAATTAGACATCAAAATTACAAATGAAGCCAGGATTTGAATTTCCCGCACTTCATTTGCATAATCGCGTCACGGCGGGTTTTTTGAAACACGCTATTTTCAAAGTAAAACTGCTGTCTAGACGTGGTTCTTTTGAAAAGAAAAGCCTTTTTTGAAAGATCCTGTAAACCTCTTTTTTGAGTACAGGATCTTTCGAAAAAGATCTCAAACTTGCCATGACACAAAAATCCTGACTTCTCTAAACACAAATTTTTCAATTTTTCAAATGAAGATTCTGAATTACTTCAGAACTTTAAAACCAGAATTAAAAGAAAAATACAGCCTCCATCCATAATAGTAAACGAAAAAAGAACCATTTTTACTGGGACACAGCTATCATATGATTACTATAAGTAGATTCATTTTATACAAGACTGCTACAGAAATTAGATGCAGCTTGCCCCAGCATACTCAGAGTTTGTATATACACCTATGTTGACATTCCATTGGACAGAGAATGCATCCTGAACCCATGCATGATTTTAACTTTCCAAATTTAGTCCGTCCCGCCCCCCGCCGCCCAAAAAAGAGAGTCACTATAGTGCACCAAGTTTTGTGCTCTCAGTTTGAATGCTTACTTCCTAATGGTCCCAATTGTCTGGACACAACAATTTTCTGCCTTTTACATTTTTACTTCAAGAACAGATCATGCCCTGACTGATACTAGGTTCTTCTGGACCAGGTGACAATCCTGTGATCTCTGACTGCAGTTCTCTCCTTCAACTGCAGCTCAAAACTGCTGCATTGTTGTGGAAATTCAGTCTGCTCACAGGTCACAAAACTCTTGGTTAAACAACGGCATTGGGCTGCTTTCGCACAGACCAGCTATGTCTCCTTCATCCCACTTCCTCCACTATTATTATCACCTCAGAGAAAAAGAAAGTGAAGTGCAACAGGATGCAAGCTGATGGCAATGGGTTCTTCCTTCTTGCTTGCTTGATTCAATGGCAGAAATTAAAATAGTAGAGGGAATTAAGAGTAGTTGTTACCCTAGCTGAATGGAATGAAAATGCTTGGCATACCTGCCAGCTCTAAGTATGACTTACAAAAGAGGACTATCCATCAGTCTGGATGGTGGCAATCTAGTAACAATGTGTATGGAGACAAGGATTTCTATGCTGATACAAACACAGCTCGACAGCCAAATGACATTATTAATATAAATGCCATTTTAATAAAGATAGGTGGTTTGTTTGTTTTTTAAAATCACTATCCCTCAACATCCTGGACTACATCAACTTATACATCTCCTCAATTCTAAGTCATTATAAACAATGTAAAAATATTTTATGCAACAGAATACAAGTAAAAGCCAATTTGATAGGTTATATATTTTTATTATCACTGATCCACTGTCATGTGAAAAAGTTCCTTAGAATAGGAAAAAGGTATGCAAGTCAAAAAAGGTCTTTTTTCATTTCTGTTGATCTCAAAAGCACTCAAAGAAAGATGTAGTATGACATTACATAGTGTTCTCAAAATATTTAAAAACATTATCAAACCTCCCTGTTCAAATTTGACATACTTGATACATATTAGTATTTAAATGACTTACCCTTTCTGCTTCAATGGCAATTCAAGTTTAAATATTGTAGCATCATTCACAACTGCCTTATATGCCTAAAATGAATAGTTGAAATAAGAATATAAAACACTTCATGCAACTTTTTATTAAGTATTCAAATATAAAACAATTCATATCTCCCTTTATTAAAAGTTACTAGAGTGTCTGTACCTCTCTAATCCAGGTCCTTAACAACTCCAATATTTTTGTAGGCTGCTTTTCAATATGTTTGTCTCAGAAGCAGGCTAAAGCTTTCCTAGTGCTGAACTGATTTTAATTCTTCAGTGACATACATTTGCAGGGCCTGTTGGTGACATACAAGAACTGGGGAAATCCCTGACAGCTCTGCAAATGTACAGCACTGATTAATTAAAATCAATTGATTCAACACTAAGAATGTCTTAATAGACTAATGCTAACATATTGAAAAGAAGCTTTTTATTAAGCCCTGATTCAGCAAGATACTTCATCACATGCCTAATGTCAAGCATGTGAGTGGTTCCACCAAAGTCACAGGACTATTCAGAATCATATGTACAACCTAGAGAATAACTACCTTACTGAATCAGACACTTCGACCATAAGCTCCTCAGCACAGTCAGCGTCTTCATATGTGCTGTACAATTAAACAACACTGCAAGCACCAGTCCTGATTGGGTCCTTTGGGCACTACCACAATACAAACAATAAAAATCAGGTTACTAATGACCTTAAAAAGATTCTAACTGGCCTTTTATTCCACAAGTTTAGTAGCATAAGAACAGGCTCCAGGATTCATCAATAAATGGGCAATGGGATTTTAGAGGCTTTATTTATTATGGATTTCAACCATTTAAAATAATGTATCTGATTTCTGTGTTCACTGTATACATACCTTATCTCTTGCAGTAAGAAATCTCGGGTCATCTTGAAAAGCTTCTTTAACCAGCTTACTAAATCGATTAAATAATGTAAGCAATTGCTCTACATATTTCTCAGAATCCTAAAACAAATGAAAGCAAAAGCCAGTTCCGGTTAGAGCGATTACTCATCTTGTGCAGTAACTGTGATTCTTTGAGATGGTTATCCATGTGGTTGCTCCACTTTTGGTGTCTTGAGACCCCCTCCCAGCCATGCTTGTAAACAGAAACTTGTGGTAGCAGTACTCAATCAGGCCGTGAACATGTCAGCATCACCTCTCACTGTTCCAGATGGTTATGTAATGTGGAACTAACTGTCCCTCGTTTCCTTCCCTACCCCCAGGGAAACACATGAAATCTGATGCAGAGGGAAGTAGGGAGGTTGTGAGTGTTCCACTGTAGGTGACTGTTGACCAGTGCCTCTCAGCAGAAAGGAGGGGTTTCAGAATTGTGTTATTGAGGCTGGATAACATTGAGAGTCCTAATTGAACATCTGATGCTGACTGTTGCTCTATAGTGTAGTGGTTTGTGAACATATGTGTTGATGCCCACGTTGCTGCTCTGCAAACATCACTGATGGGGACATTATTAAAAAACGCCACAGATGCTGCTTACGCTTTGCTATAGGGGGTATGGACTTCCACTGGGGCTTGTAGGTTGCTATTTTGGTAGTAACAGTGGATGCATCCTGATATCCATTTGGATAGTCTCTGATCTGAGATGTTTTATGGAGACACGTTCTTGGTCATTTTCTGAATACTTTTATTCTTTCGATGTAGACTCTAATGCTCTTCAGACATGCAGCACATGCCGTGATTCCTTTCTTCCATCTGCATGTGGTCTTGGAAAAGGGGAGCTAAATTTGGGTAGGAACTTGGGGTGTGGTCGTAAAATAACTTCATATTTAAATAATGGTGTTTATGGGGGACATGCCATTAAAGCACCTAATTCCTCTCACCCCTTCTGGTAGACATGATGGCAATGTGGAATGCCACCTTCTCAGATAAATGCAGCAATGAGCAAATTGCGAGCAATTCAAATGGCTTTCCTTTATGTCCATGTAAGATAAGATTGAGGTTGCACATGGGCTGAGGGTTTTTACTATGGGGTGGAAGTTCTCAATGTCTATAAGACAGTGTTTAGTTGTTGGGTTGGCAAATTCAGTGATTACATACACCCTGTCATGGAAAGATGTGATAGCTGCCAAGCATACGTTGATAGAGCTTGTGAAGAGCCTCAATTTAAAGTTCTGGTATGTACTTCAGGACCCTTAGAAGACAGAAAGACGTTAGTATGATCTGTTTATCTTGGCACCAAGTGCTGAATTGTTTCCACTTATGGACATGTTTCTTTCTGGTACTCATTCTTCAATAATAGGTTTTTTTATTTCAGCCAAACAGGACTTCTCAACTCCTCTCAGCCATGGAGTAACTAAGCATTTTGGTGAAGTGCTGAAAGGTCGGGATGGTGATGGAGTCCTGCATCTTATAAGTGGGGATGCATTATTAAGGGAAGGATTTGAGATGGGCACATTCTCCTCCTTGGAAGGCACAGGAACCACACCTGTCTGGAGCAGGGGTTGGCAACCTTCTCAAACCAGAGCCAATAAGAAGGAACTAAAGGATGGTTAGCCAAACATAGCTACATAACCATCTGGAGTGGTGTGAGATGGTGAATTCGTGGCACCATTGGGCACTGCTACCACAGATCTCAGATTACAAGCGCAGGTCGTCAAGTAGTCTAACGTAGAGTATCCAGAGGGACACCCTCTTGAAGAACGGTATGTGATCATGTAATAAGAGACCATCAGAAATCAGAGACCAATACATGCATAGATAATACACAATTAAACAATGTTAACTATATATTTCCTTGACTAAGTCTCTGAGGTAGCAGTGTTAGTCTGTATCTGCAAACATGAAGAGGAGTCCAGTTCTGTTAGTCTCTAAGGGTATGTCTAGACTACATGCCTGTCGGCGGAGACATGTAGACTAGACATTCCCTAAGGTGCCACAGGATTCCTCATGGTTTTCTCCTGACTTTATTCTTTGGCTTTGCAATATTTTAAATGTACTTTTTTGTATGAAATTTCCTACTTAAAATGTATATGTATACAGTGACTATAAAAATCCTTATAATGCCAAATCAAATCTTTTCACTGGACCAATAAAAGGGCCATCTATGTCCCAGAGACTGGGATGTGATACATAGTACCATGTGTATCATTTCTCTCCTGTGCAGCTATTTAAAAAAATATCAACTAAAAATTGTTTAAAAAAAATCTTTAAAGGAAAAAATATACTTTCTCCTCTTGCCTGAACAATTTTCAAGAAACTTCCAGAAACCCACCTCCACCCCCCACAATACCCAGTTCAGAACAAGCATGCTAAATTTTAAGTTCAGAAAGTTATAAGCAATTGCAAGAGTCTTTTATAATTTAACTGCTAATATAATAACTATAAGAATTACTATGCACTCCTTCTAAATGTATCATCTGTACATTTTCTTTAAATTACAAAATAGTCCATACTTTAAAACATCATCTGAAAGTTCAAACATGCAAGAAAATTCAAGTATAATTGTACAAAATTCCTTTTAGGATGTTTTAAATTCTGATCTCCTAAAAGAGAAAAATCAAAGGCCAGGTCTATCCTAGACCCAGCAGCTTGGCTTAAAGTATGCAGCTCCTTCTACATATAATACATAGCTGGAAACTGCTTACCTTAAGCCGAGCTTGGCAGCATCCCCACTGTGTGAGACTGACAAGAGCAAACGCTCCTGTTGGCTTCCTTTACTCCTTACGAAAGCAGTCGCACTGGCCATGAGTGGAGGCACCCTTTGAGCAGTGTTCCCTCTAAATTGAGTGGCAGCACAGTTTCACAGATGATTTATCAGCACCGCCCACTCAGAAGCTCAGGGCTCCCTGCACAGAGCTGACTGGGCGAGGTTGATTAATCACCAGTGGAGCTGTGCTGCTGCACAGCTTAGAGGAAACACTGCATCTGAGTTATATTTAGCAAGTCTTAACTAGACTTGCCAAATTAATAGATCATGGCAGCGCTGATCTTCCGTGAAGACCAACCCAAAGTTTTTGTTGAATTATCAATTACATTTTTAAAAGGGTATAAGTGGAGAAAGGTGTAAGTTTTTTGGTTTTCCTTTGAAAGAGGTTCTTATTAACTAATGAAATCACCCCCCACCAGCACAAGAGTGTACACTTACAGTAGTAATAGTTTCAGCAGCTGCTACCATATCTGCTAATCCAGCACTAACAATATGCTCTTCCAAGTCTTTTAACATGGGCTCTATACCATTAGGAACTTTATCCATCAGTGAAAACATTAGATGCAATTCTGAAAGACACAAAATACTGATGAAACCACTAGTCCTTCCATATGTAACCATCAGACAATGCTTTAAATAAATATTGTGTATGTTCTGTTCAGACAAATATTTCAAATAGGACATAAAAGTCACAAAAATAAGAATAAACTATCTCAATAACAATACATCCCCTCAAATAATGTATATTAATATTACTAGAACTTCAAAGTGAACTCCACAAGGAGAATGTTAGGCTACGTCTAGCCTACATGCCTCTGACGACAGAGGCATGTAGTCTAGACGTAGCCTTAGAGAAAAAAATTCTGTATTCACCAGAAAAAAAAAAAAAAAAGCTAAGCTTTAATAAAAAAAAAATTTAAAAAAAAACCAAAACAACACAGGCAACCAGGAATATGTAAACATATGTATAATCCTCCCCTTCTATTTGTGATTATTAGATTGTATTGCCAGAAGAGGTTGTGAAGACGAGAACTTTAACAGGGTTCAAAAAAGAACTAGATAAATTCATAGAGGTTAGGTTCATCAATGGCTATTAGCCAGGTTGGGTAGGAATGGTGTCCCTAGCCTCTGTCAGAGGTTGGGAATGCAGACGGGAAAGGGATTGCTTGAAGATTCCCTATTCTGTTCAATCCCTCTGGGGCATCTGGCATTGGCCACTGCCAGCAGACAGGATACTGGGCTCGATGGACCTTTGGTCTGATCCAGTTTGGCCATGCTTATGTTCCAGTTGTTCCAACTTTACTACTAACAATGAATTTCAGAATTAGAAGCCTACAATCAAAGAACTGTGTAACTGATCAAGATGCAAGACTGGGAACTGATATAAAAGCAGGGTTGTATTGGTGCAGAGGAGCATGTGGATCAGACAGACATCTCTTAGAAGAGAGTCTATTGATAGAGATTCTCTAGGTTTTAGTCAGGAGGAGAGGAAGGAAGAGGATAAAGTATGGGCTAGATGAGACAAAAAACATTCACATAAAAAAGAATCTGACATTAGAAAAAGGCAGACAAATAAACAGTGACAAGTTTTTAAAGTGCTTGTACACAAATGCTAGAAGTCTAAAAAATAAGATGGGTGAACTAGAGGACCTCGTGTTAAAGGAGGATACTGATATAACAGGCATCACAGAAACCTGGTGGAGTGAGGACAATCAATCAATGGGGCACAATCATTCCTGGGTACAAAATATATCGGAAGAACAGAACAGGTCGTGCGGGTGGGAGAGCAGCAATATATGTGAAAGAAAATTTAGAATCAAAGGAAGTAAAAATCTTAATGAATCAACATGTTCCATAGAATCACTATGGATAGTAATTCCCTGCTCTAATAAGAATATAACAGTAGGGATCTATTATTGACCACCTGACCAGGACAGTAATAGTGACTATGAAATGCTAAGGGAGATTAGAGAGGCTAACAAAAAAAGAAGAACTCAATATAGTGGAGGATTTCAACTGTCCCCATATTGACTGGGTACATGTCACCTCAGGACGAGATGCAGAGACAAAATTTCTTGATACCTTAAAGGACTGCTTTTTGGAGCAGCTGGTACAGGAACCCACAAGGGGAGAGGAAATTCTCGATTTAGTCCTGAGTGGCGCGCAGGATCTGGTCCAAGAGGTAACTATAACAGGACCCCTTGGAAATAGTGATCATAATATAACAACATTTAACATTCCTGTGTTGGGCTGCTGAGGTGTTCTTCCCACCACTGTGGCATTTAATTTCAAAAAGGGGAACTATGCAAAAATGAGGAGGTTAGTTAAACAGAAATTAAAAAGTACAGTGACTAAAGTAAAATCCCTGCAAACTGCATGGACACTTTTCAAAGACACCATAATAGACGACCAGAGATACGGGGATCGATTTTTAAGAGTAAGAGGTTTTGTTTTTAAAGCAGGGGTGAGGAACCTAATACCCCAGCTCACGTGAGTGTGGCCCTCGAGACTCAAGGTTCCCACACTAACGCTCTAGCTCCCCTCCAGATTGGTGATAGAAATGTAGCCGTGTTAGCCTGGGGTAGTTGAAGCAAAATGCAGGACAATGTAGCACTTTAAAGACTAACAAGATGGTTTATTAGATGATGAGCTTTCGTGGGCCAGACCCACTTCCTCAGATCAAATAGTGGAAGAAAGTAGTCACAACCGTATATACCAAAGGATACAATTAAAAAAAAGAACAAATATGAAAAGGACAAATCACATTGCAGAACAGGAGGGGGATGCGGTGGGGGGGAGGGGGAAGGAAGGTAAGTGTCTGTGAATTGATGATATTAGAGGTAGGGAGAGTGGGATGTTTGTGAGTTAATGGTATTAGAGGTGATAATTGGGGAAACTATCTTGGTAATGGGTGAGATAGTTCAAATGTTCGTTGAGTCCTTTTTGGAAAGTGTCGAATTTTAACATGAATGACAGTTCAGAGGATTCCCTTTCAAGTGCAGATGTAAAAGGTCTTTGTAGCAGAATGCAGGTGGTTAAGGCATTGAGAGAGTGTCCTTTCTGGTTAAAATGGCAAGAAACTGTTTTTTCTTTGTGATCTTGTCTGATATCTGTTTTGTGGGCATTAATCCTTTGGCGAAGTGTCTGAGATGTTTGTCCAATGTACATAGCAGACGGACACTTTCGGCACACGATAGCATAGATTATATTTCTGGATGCGCAGGAATATGTGTGCTTGATCTTATAACTCACTTGGTTAGGTCCAATAATGGTATCAGCAGAATGAATATGTGGACAAAGCTGGCAACGGGGTTTGTTGCAAGGGAAGGTACCAGGGGGTAAGAATCCCACTCTCCCTACCTCTAATATCATCAATTCACAGACACTTACCTTCCTTCCTCCCCCCCTCCCCCGCATCCCCCTCCTGTTCTGCAATGTGATTTGTCCTTTTCATATTTGTTCATTTTTTTTAATTGTATCCTTTGGTATATATGGTTGTGACTACTTTCTTCCACTATTTGATCTGAGGAAGTGGGTCTGGCCCACAAAAGCTCATCATCTAATAAACCATCTTGTTAGTCTTTAAAGTGCTACATTGTCCTGCATTTTGCTTCAGCTACCCCAGACTAACACGGCTACATCTCTATCACTAAAAGAAGCAGTGAGAGATAAAAAGACATCTTTTAAAAAGTGGAAGTCAAATCCTAGTGAGGTAAATAGAAAGGAGCATAAACACTGCCAAATTAAGTGTAAAAATGTAATAAGCCAAAAAGGAGTTTGAAGAACAGCTAGCCAAAAACTCAAAAGGTAATAAAATGTTTAAGCAGAAAGCCTGCTAAATAACCAGTGGGGCCCCTGGATGATCGAGATACAAAAGGAGCACTTAAAAGATGATAAAGTCATTGCGGAGAAACTAAATGAATGCTTTGCTTCAGTCTTCACAGCTCAGGATGTTAGGGAGATTCCCAAGCCTGACCCGTCCTTTGTAGGTGATGAATCTGAGGACTTGTCACAGACTGAAGCGTCATTAGAGGAGGTTTTAGAATTAATTGATAATCTTAACAGTAACAAGTCACTGGGACCAGATGGCATTCACCCAAGAGTTCTGAAAGAACTCAAATGTCAAGTTACGGAACTATTAACTACTGTTTGTAACCTATCCTTTAAATCAGCTTCTGTAACCAATGACTGGAAGATAGCTAATGTAACACCAATATTAAAACAAGACCTCTAGGGGCGATCCTGGCAATTACAGACCGGTAAGTCTAACTTCAGTACCGGGAAAATTAGTTGAAACAATAGTAAATAATAAAATTGTCAGACACATAGAAGAACATAATTTGTTGGGCAAAGTCAACATAACTTGTTGGGCAAAAGTCAACATGGCTTCTGTAAAGGGAAATCATGTCTTACTAATCTATTAGAGTTCTTTGAAGGGGTCAAACAAACATGTGGACAAGGGGGATCCAGTAGATACAGTGTACATAGATTTTCAGAAAGTCTTTGACACGGTCCCTCACCAAAGGCTCTTACGTAAATGAAGTTGTCATGGGATAAGAGGGAAGATCCTTTCATGGACTGAGAACGGGTTAAAAGACAGGAAACAAAGGGTAGGAATAAATGGTAAATTTTCAGAATGGAGAAGGGTAACTAGTGTTCCACAAAGGTCAGTCCTAGGACCAATCCTATTCAACATATTCATAAATGAACTGGAGAAAGGGGTAAACAGTGAGGTGGCAAAGTTTGCAGACGATAGTAAACTGCTCAAGGTAGTTAAGACCAAAGCAGACTGTGAAGAACTTCAAAAAGACCTCACCAAACTAAGTGACTGGGCAACAAAATGGCAAATTAAATTGAATGTGGATAAACGTAACTGTTTAGGATAATCAAGACAGAAGCAGACTGGGAGGGACTCCAAAAAGATCTCACTAAACTGAGTGATTGGGCAAAAAAAGGGCAAATGAAATTTAATGTGGATAAGTGTAAAGTAATGCACATCGGGGAAAAATAACCCCAACTCTACATACAGTATGATGGGGGCTAATTTGGCTATGACAAATCAGGAAAGAGATCTTGGAGTCATCGTGGATAGTTTTCTGAAGACGTCCACACAGTGTGCAGCGGTAGTCAAAAAAGCAAACAGGATGTTAGGAATCATTAAAAAAGGGATAGAGAATAAGATGGAGAATATCTTATTGCCTTTATCTAAATCTATGGTACGCCCACATCTTGAATACTGCGTACAGATGTGGTCTCCTCATCTCAAAAAAGATATACTGGCATTAGAAAAGGTTCAGAAAAGGGCAACTAAAATGATTAGGGGTTTGGAACAGGTCCCATATGAGGAGAGATTAAAGAGACGGGGACTTTTCAGCTTGGAAAAGAGGAGACTAAGGGGGGGGATATGATAGAGGTATATAAAATCATTAGTGGTGTGGAAAAAGCGAACAAGGAAAAGTTATTTACTTGTTCCCATAATATAAGAACTAGGGGCCACCAAATGAAACTAATGGGCAGCAGATTTAAAACAAATAAAAGGAAGTTCTTCTTCACACAGTGCATAGTCAACCTGTGGAACTCCTTGACTGAGGAGGGTTGTGAAGGCTAGGACTATAGCATGGTTCAAAAAAGAACTAGATAAATTCATGGAGGTTAAGTCCATAAATGGCTATTAGCCAGTATGGGTATGAAATGGTGTCCCTAGCTTCTGTTTGTCAGAGGGTGGAGATGGATGGCGGGAGAGAGATCGTTTGATTGTTACCTGTTCGATACACTTCCTCTGGGACAGCTGATATTGGCCACTGTAGGCAGACAGGGTACTGGGCTGGACGGACCTTTGGTCTGACCTAGTATGGCCATGCTTATGTTATGTTTTGGTCCTGCTTTGTGCTCTAAAAAAAAAAAAATCATCTATGGCCAAAGAATTGCTCTCCTCCCCCGTCCCCCCAATCTCTCTCCTACCCTAACTCCTTGATTGTCCCCTATCCTGCATAGGTTTACCATATTTCAAGTTTCCCCCAAAAGAGAATACAGCCAAGGAGAGAGAAAGTTCACTGGGAGGGGCTGTTTGGGAAATGCTGTAAGAAGGGTGCGCGCTGGAAAGGAGCATTTGAGAGTGTGAAGGGACGTATATGCTGGGAGGGGGTATTAGGAGATGTGGGAAGGGTGCCTGCAACTTCACTCTTGAGTGAGGAATGTAGCACCAGCCAGCCAGTCAGGACCTCCTTGCAGGCTTCTCCCTTTTCCCAAGGTAGGGAGTTGGGGCCCGGCTCTGAGGCCCTGCAGTGTAGCAGGCAGCCAGCTGAGGCCCTTGGTAGCTCTGTTTTCCCAGTGAGCTGGGTGGCCTATCTCCCTGCTTGCCCCACTCACTGAGCCTGAATGCCAGGGCCTACTCGCCTGCCCACGTGACCCACTCGCCCTACTCCTGAGTGGACACCAGTTACCAGATGATAGATCTGTGACTGCATAAACAGCTGTCCAGGACACAGCTCTACCACCCAGCCCCTCAGGAGGAGGGGCAGCTGCACTGCTCTAGTCCCAGCTCAGCTTCAACACATTTGATCTTCAAAATCCACTCAAACTCGTCTGGAGGTCCAGATTTGGTCCATGTCTGCCTACTGGCTATCACAGCTGGCAATATAAAATAACAAAATACGAAGGGGGTGGAGGGATATGTTATAGGCATGGGTTGCATCTTTTACATTAAAATTCAGCTAGTTCCATCTACCTCCTTAACACAGCCATCAAGTGGCCAATTCCTTACAGTCTAATAGGGCAGAGGTGAGTTTTTGAAGAGGGATCTGAAAAATGGTAGTGGGCTTCCAAATCAATTCAAGAGAGGACATAAACATTATATGAAGATGTTGTAACTGTGTTGGTCAAAGGATATTGGTGAGGTAACATCTTTTATTGGACTGAATCCACCTTGTCTCTCTAGCATGGATACAGGCACACAGATGCATGTGAGAAACTAGCAAAGTTTCTAAGGAAAGTATCTAAAGTAACTTTGGGTTGAAATAAACCTTCTGGATCCCTTTGGGGACTGAAAGTTTTAATGTTACAAGCAATGGGGTGGGGGACTGGAGGGGACATAATGAAGGCATTCAACTTCAGCAATGTTACAGAGTATATTCAATCCTGTGAACATGCTCAGTACAAACCAACCAGCAAATCATGTGAAAGTGACTACACACATTTCCATCTCCTTTCCACCCACATTGCCTCTGCTTAAAAGGCTTGGTCCTTTGCCATATTCAGTCCTGGACTAGTGCCAAGAATGTATTACTACACTGAGGGACCAGTCTGGTGTTTATAAAACATTCACCTCTAGACCTGGCATTTCAGAACATATCTGATATTAAGACTAATAAGCTGGAAAATCCAGTTCTCACATCTGTGTAGAAAAGAAAATTTCAAAAATTCAACAATTTGGTTGCAGGATCCGTTGCTTTTAAAATAAAATAAATTAAAAAAAAAAAAAGGATTTCCAAAGATTTCGTTTGTCAATTCCCCTACGTAGTTTCTGAAATTTTAGTCGCTACTATCTTGAATAGCCAGCAGCTTAGCATCTTCACAAATATTTCCTAATTGACTCTCACTAATCTGTCAAAATCTGTAGAAGTAAATGTTTCAAACGGCATACAGACTCTTCAGCTTTTTCAGTCACGAGGTGCTTTACTCGCTGACCAGGACATTCTTCCAAATGTTGGTCCTGGACCAGAAATAGTCTTTTAAAAAAAAAAAAACCAACTCTTTCCTTATCTTCAAAAACAATATGTCAAAAAAGGAGGAAACCTCCCAGAGAAAGGTTTTTTATTGTTAAATTACTTAAGTTCAGGAGGATGCAATGCTCTGAAGAAAAGCCTCAACACGGATTAAAATTGGAGAAAGCAGGTTGCTCCAAAAGGAAGGACAATAAATGAGTGCAAAGAAGTTTATAGCCACAATTTGCCTTTCACAAAAAAAAAATCCAGTCAAATTGGCACATTGAAGGTACAGAGCATAAATACGTTTATGCACATATTGGGATGTTAGTACATGGCAGCACAGGTGGAATAAAAGGGCCGCATGCAGTACATTTTTCTTTTTAAGAAACAGGTAGCTGCCTCAGTTACAAAACAGTAATCAGATACCTTTTATCCACATTTTTTTTTTAAATCTAGCTGACCCTGAGATCATGCTTCAGTATTTTTTTAAGCTTTACTTACTTTCTGTTTCATTTCGTTTTATCATCCCTTGGCATTCAGCTAAAATGGTTTCTTTAAATGATGTCACCAAGGCATTCACACAGCACTCCATAAGCTGAAAGGTATTAAGAAATATAGTTAACTTATTATACTCCTTAGAGCTCCAGTGTATTCTCTCTCAAGTTCATATTCAATGAAAATACCAGTCTCTCCTCATTCACTACAGCGCCATAAAATGTTTCATAGTATGATAACTTCTGTACTAAGTACAGCCTGTGAGCATAAAACAAACAGTCTAAATTTCAGTTCATTTGTATTTTTTTTAAAGCAAGTTTTACAGAAATGTAGTGAACAGTTTAATATTTCCCTGGCCTTTTCCCTCACAAGAAAGTACCAGTTTAGGTCTCACAAGAGTGTATCCGTTTAAGAACAATATTTACCATTCTTAGTTTCCAAGTATATTTCCAATGGCCAAGAAAAAAGTTCTCATTCCCATGTGTCATACCTGACCTGAATTTGGTTTGAACAAGAGCCTAATGATAATTCTAGCACAGAAAATTACTTCTACACTCAAGGGATTGGAAGATGAGACAAATATTATGTACCTCTTTCCATTCATCTTACTGCAAGATGCCCCCTCCATGATATAAATGCAGAATTAGACCAAAGAAATCCTGACTACTATAGCTGCTAAGGCATTTGTTTAAAATATACTTGTTTCCTGAACAAATTTCAGCACAGCTAATTACAAATTGCTACTGAATTCTCTCTCTGAAGTTTGAAAAATAATTAAGTATAACTTTCCTTCTTAAGCGGTTTTATGAGCACTGATAAACTGGTGATGTACTTCATGTAGAAGGTGACTACATTTCAGTTATGGTAGAAAGGATTTAATCATTTTTGAGTTGTGAAGTGTTTGGGGATGTGTGTGTGATAAACAGTGAATTTTCTCAGATACTGTAAACTGGCACTGACTAACCTTTTATCCACTAGGATTGCCTATATATTTCCCATGTCATTATAATCTACTAAATACAAAATAAATTGTGCTATCTTACACTGAAAAAAGCAAACCCACTTGCAATCCTACACTCAAGTAATGAATTTAAATCAAGAGCTGAAAATTATTAACTATGGATTTTTCCACAGAATGTTTAATAAGACTCTAAACTACCAAGTAGGGCAGCAGTGGTCCCCAAACTTTTTACCTCATGCTCCCTTTATCTTTGTCTGTGCCTCCCATGAATAGGAGGGGGTTGCAGCTTGGGGAGGGAGGGGAACACAGCTAGGCATAAGAGGGCTGAGGCAGGGATAACAGCTGGGGCCAGCAGGCAGGGTGAGGGCCAAAAGCAGAGATGGCTGGTGCTCTCTCCATGCCCCCTGTGAGGACTGGCCTAGGCCCACCATGCCCCCCAATGTTTCTTCATGCCCCCCAGGAAGATGGACCCACATTTTGGGAACCTTTGAAGTAGCACCTACTAATTTTTTTTTTTTTTTAAACAGAAACAGTGATTTTTAAAAAGGTAAAAATAAGTCTTATAGTAGGTTATATCTTAGATCAGCATTTCCCAAACTATGGGTCACGGGAAAAAAAAAATACTGGGCCTCAGTGTGGCTGCCAGGACAGGAGCAGGGCGGGCTGGGAGGTGGTGTGTAGGAGAATCTGGTTGCTGGGAAGCAGGGTTGGGGGCAGCAGGGCTGTCCGGCAGAGATTGGGGAGGGCAGGTGGCGGAAGCAGGGGTGGAGGTAGCGGGGCTGTCCCGTGGGGGGGGGGGGGGGGCGGGCGGGAGCCAGTACGTGCAGGAAGCTGGCTTTCAAGGAGCTGGTGCTGTGGGGAGCTCCCTGGTGCCGCCTGCCTCCCCTGCGCTGCTGCCTCTATTAGAGATAGCAGCGTGGGTGGGGGGTGGTAGGGGAGGCGGACAAAACCCTCCAATACCGGACTGTCCAGTACAAAACCGGACACCTGGAAACCCTAGTCCTCCTGTACCCTCCCTCCTAGCCAGATACCCTACCCCCAATCTGCTTCTGCTCCCGCCTCCTGGAATGCCCATGTGGCGCCGGATCCCCAAAACCCTGGCCCAGGCTGGGCAGAGGATGCAGCTGAGTGAAATACTGAAAATGTATTCATTTTTAATTTTTTTTATATGTATTTATATTTTTGGGCTGCAAAAAACAATACTAAAACGGGTTCCAACTAATGTAAAAAGTTTGGGAAACCCTGGTCTAGCCAGCTTCCTATCCATCTTACAGTCCATTTATCCAATCCATATTCCCTTAACTTGCTGGCAAGAATATTGTGGGAGACTATATAAAAAGCTGGCACTGGGGGCTTTGGGAGGACCAGAAACAACTTATTTGAATATTCATAATTTGCCTAATGAATATGCCAATCAATATTACCCGTCCTCCAAAAGCTTGTGAATGGATTTACTGGTCCCCATGTCAAAGAGTTTGGGAACCCCTGTCTTAGATGTTACAATAAAAACAGAAGACAAATTTCAATCAAAACTGACATCAGAACCCTTTACTGCTATTGAAATACAGTGCATGATTCTTGCCAGATATCCTAACCCCAATCTGCTCCTGCTCCAGCCTCCTGGAGTGTGGCGCCGGATCCCCAAAACCCTGGCCCAGGCTGGGCAGAGGATGCAGCTGAGTGAAATACTGAAAATGTATTCATTTTTAATTTTTTTTATATGTATTTATATTTTTGGGCTGCAAAAAACAATACTAAAACGGGTTCCAACTAATGTAAAAAGTTTGGGAAACCCTGGTCTAGCCAGCTTCCTATCCATCTTACAGTCCATTTATCCAATCCATATTCCCTTAACTTGCTGGCAAGAATATTGTGGGAGACTATATAAAAAGCTGGCACTGGGGGCTTTGGGAGGACCAGAAACAACTTATTTGAATATTCATAATTTGCCTAATGAATATGCCAATCAATATTACCCGTCCTCCAAAAGCTTGTGAATGGATTTACTGGTCCCCATGTCAAAGAGTTTGGGAACCCCTGTCTTAGATGTTACAATAAAAACAGAAGACAAATTTCAATCAAAACTGACATCAGAACCCTTTACTGCTATTGAAATACAGTGCATGATTTTATTACATATACAACTAACTTTTTAAACTTACCGCTTCTACAGAGTTACATTCCCGCCTGGTCTCTAGATACCTTAATGCTCTTTTCTCTTCTTCCTTTAATTTAGCATCTGCCTGTGCAGAAGCAAAACAGCAATCATTTTAAGTACTAACAACTACAAAACAGTTGCCATCATATGACTTGTCTTTTTACTTACATATTTCATATAATTCTGTACTCCATTCTGTTGTAAATAAGAAGGAGCTTGTGTTCTATAAAATCTTTCTGTTGAATCCAAATAGGCCTTCTCAAAGTTATCCCGATAAATCTGAAGTTTATCTTCAGGATTAGAACAAAGGTTAACTGCAAAGAGAAAAAGATCTTATTTTAGTTTTCAGTGCTTTGAATGTGACAAAAACAATTATTTCTTTCTTTTGAAGACCCTCAGGCTGTGTCAGACTATATCCCCCTTTCAAAAGAGGGATGTAAATTAGACAGATTGAAACTACAAATGAAGCTGGGATTTGAAATTCCTGTGCTTCATTTGCATAATGGCAGCTGCGCATTCCTTCGAAAATGGGTATTTAGAGTGAAACCGCTGTCTAGACATGGTTCTTTTGAAAAATATCCCTATTTCGAAAGGTCCTGTATGCCTCAAAAAATGATCATAGTGGGTCAGACCAAACGCCCATCTAGCCCAGGCTATGTCTAGACTACAGGCTTCTTTCAGAAGAAGCCTTTTTTGGAAGAGAGAAAAAATTCTTCCGAAAGAGTGCCCACACTGCAAAAGCGCATCAAAAAAGCGATCTGCTTTTGCAAAAGAGAGCATCCATACTGACTTTACACTATCTTGCATATAAGACCATCCGGAACCAGTTCAGCCAGGGCTTTAGGTCACCAGTTGCTTCTGAGTGCTGGTGCCAAAGCCTAGCTGAGACACATGCTTAAAAGGACCCCCCGGACAGCCATTTCCCAACCTCTGAAAAACAGAGGCTAGGGACACCAAAAAAAAGCCTCTGTTCTTTCGATTTTCTTGTGGAAGAACGCAATTGCAGTGTGGACGTTCCTCAAGTTTTTCCAGAAAAAGGCCATTTTTCTGACAAAACTCTGTAGTGTAAACATACCTCCAGTATCCTGTATTCCAACAGTGGTCAATGCCAGGTGCCCCAGAAGGAAGGAACAGAACAGGTAATCATCAAGTGATCCATTCCTTGTCAGCCATTCCCAACCTCTGAAAAACAGAGGCTAGGGACACCATTTCTACCCATCCTGTCTAATAAGCATTGATAGATCTAACCTCCATGAATTTATCTAGCTCCTTTTTGAACCCTGTTAACAGTCCTGGTCTTCACAACATCCTCTGGCAAGAAGCGTCACAGGTTGACTGCGCATTGTATGGAGAAATATTTCCTTTTGTTTGTTTTTAACATGTTACCTATTAATTTCATTTGGTGACCCCTAGTTCTTACGTTATAGGAACAATTTTTTTTTCCTTATTCACTTTCTCCCCACCAGTCAGGATTTTTTTGACCTCTATCATATGCCCCCTTAGTCTCCTCTTTTCTAAGCTGAAAAGTCCAAGTCTTTTTAATCTCTCTTCATATGGCAGCCGTTCCAAATGCCTATTAATTTTTGTTGCCCTTTTCTGAACTTTTTCCAATGCTAACATCTCTTTTATGAGAGGAAGAGAGCACACCTGTACGCAGTATTCAAGATGTGGGCATCCCACGGATTTATACAGTTACCTAGTTTTGTGAGATTTTTGAAACTTCACAATTTACTTTGGTCTTAACTACTTGAGCAGGTCAGTATCATCTGCAAATGTTGCCACCTCACTATTTACCTCTTTCTCCAGATCATTTATCAGCACATTGAATATGACTGGTCCCAGTACAGCCCCCTGCGATACACTACCAGTTATCTCTTTTCAGTCTGAAAACTAATTATTTCTACCCATTGTTTCCTGTCTTTTAACCTGTTTATCCATAAGAGGACCTTCCCTCTTATTCCATGACAGCTTATTTTACTTAAGAGTCTATGGTTAGGGACCGTGTCAAAGGCTCTCTGGACATTTAAGGATGTTAAGAGGCGGGTAACTGACTAATCGTGTAGTTGATACAATCCCTAAATTTAAGTACACTGTATCCACTGGACTCCCCCTTGTCCACATGCTTGCTGATGCTCTAAAAGAAGTCTAACAGATTAGTAAGGCATGATTTCCCTTTACAGAAACCATGTTGACTTCTCCCCAACAATTTATGTTCATCTACGTGCCTGATAATTCTGTTCTTTACTATAGTTGCAACTAATTTGCCCAGTACTGACATTAGAGTTAGGGGTCTAAATTGCCAGGATCACTTCTAATAACCTTTTTAAAGATTGGTTTAATAATAGCCATCTTCCAGGCTCAGGCTGGAGCCCAAGCTCTAGATTTGGGCTGTACTGCCAGCTGATGTCACATTTAGAGAGGCCTCTTTACAACAATAAGAACTAAAACTATTTTTAAATGCAAATTTCACTTTTGCAGATATTCGTGACAGACTCCTCATCTGCCAGTGAGTTTCTTACTTGCCACTGGCACATACATTTACCCCACTAATAATACAAAACAAGATGATGATCATACCAATCATGCACCCTTTGGCAACATCTTATCGAAAGTATGTTATGAAGAATCTGTGAACTAGAAAAGATGCAGCTGAGATCACACTGTATATAAACATACCATATGATTCTCTAACGCCAATAACAAGTTGAGAGTCAAAAGCTTCTCCTAGTCTTTCAGCATGGACCAGCTTCATTGCACTGTCTTGAAGTCTATTCTTTATATTTGAAAATATGGACTCATTCCAAGTGTCTAGCATGAGCTAAGTAACAAGAAGAAAAAAAAAGTCAGCGACAGACAGAACTTCAAATTAAGGGCATGTCTACATGAGCACTTACCACACAGCAAGCTAGGATGTAAATGTGGAGTGCTGAAGTATACCATGCACTAATTGTCTGTATCAACCCTGTTGACATGCACTAGAAGCTCCCTCATGTGCACTGACATACTAAAGGACATAAGTCTCCCAATACAAAGGAGTTAACTTTGGAGCTAAATGTCTAATAGTGGTCCAGCAGTTGGCACACACAAAGGCTTACATAAAAATTAAGATAAAATATCAATTAGTAAGTGAGCAACGGTTATGTAAAGCAAAGTAAATAATTGTTGGATTGCCTTCAACTTTCAGACAGATATATTAAATTACTGACATACAATGCTCTGTGATCACTTTATTTTTACATTGTATTCACAGAATAATCAGTAAGTTACCTGGGTATTGCAACAAGCAGTTTTAGTCAATGCTGTTGCCCCACTTAAAACTGGCTATCATGAGATAAAGGTCTCATTATCCTTTTATTGGACAACTGTCCTTTCAGTTGGTTTGGGCAAGCAGCAAGACCTCTAAAGATTTTTGTGCCACACCTCAAAGTCAGACCAATGTGTTGCATCTGAACACCACAGAAAACTCCCTTGTAGAAGTCATATTTGTATGGAACCAAGCACTGCTAGCCATTTAATAATTCTACAGGCTTCACCTCCCAAAACCAGAATTCTCTGATTACATCAGGTGGCAGGAGGGCTATCCAGGAGGGTCTGGGTTGAAGCAGCAGGACAGGGCAGAAGCTGGTGGCAACCTCCAACAGCCTGCGGCACTGGGACCAGATTGGGGCAGCCTCCAGCAGTACAGGATCAGGCCAGCGACAGCCCATGGCCAGAGCCCCAAGCAGCCCATGGAAGCAGGGCTAGAGACTATGGGCTGCAGTGAAGCCGGAGCCCACACTCCTGGCAGCCTGTGGCAAAGGGACCAAGTCTGGGGATGGAGAAAGCCCCAATCCTATAGCAGCGTGGGGCTGGAACCCCAGTCAGCCCATAGAAGTGGGGCCAGAGCCTGCAGGCTACCGCGGGGGCTGGGACCAGAGCCTGAGCCCCTGGTAGTCCAACCAGAGCCAGAGCCTGGCAGCCCATGGTAGCATGGGGCTGGAGCCTATGGCAGCGCGGACTGCTGGAGCCCAGCAGGTAGTCTGCCTAGGGCAGCAGCAGTGGGGTCAGCGACCCAGCAATCAGCCTGGCAGTGGCTGGAGGGAATCCCGCTGCCTCCCCCTCCATCCCCTCAGCTGGCAGAGTTGGCAGCTATGGCAGGGAACCATCTATTGTCTGGAAAATATCCTGGTTTGGGACCGGTCTGGTTCCAAAGGTGCCAGATAAGAGATGTCTAACCTGTACAGCTTGAAGCATATATATTAATGGCATATTGGTCATTTTTAAATTAGAAGGAAAAAGCCTAAAAAAAAATCTTAAATTCTAGATCTTTTTTGTGTAAAGAGAATGCCTAAAATTTCATATTCTAAGCTCTGGCTTTGTTAGTGTATAATACCTCTGTGCTTTATATTAACTGTTGTGTTGTTAAGTTTTTAAGTGCACCAACTGCTTCCCTGAGATTAGAGTTTTGTTTTTCACTTTCATAACTGTAAAAGGTATTAGAATAAGTTTATTTTTGAAAGATGACTGTAAACAGTCTAGTCTTTCAGTGACTCCAACAATGATTTCTAGGAGCCTAATTTTTGGCAAGTTTGATAAAGATAAACATTTCCATTTCTATGCATCATATAATTTACTATAGTGGGTACCTAATGAAATGCAGAAGAGTGTTTGGAAAATTTAAGGCACATAAAGACACCTGTTAGCTTAAGCTTCTTTATGAAGCCAAACTCTGCCCTGACTTAACTTCAATGTTTTACTTTTAAACACTCTAGACTCAGACTTGTCAGAATTGAATGCCCAGAAGACAGCAAATAATGAGTGTAATTAAAATAAAGGATTTTCTTAAATTGTGTTTCTTTAGTTTAGCTCTCCTTTCATATTTAAGAAAATGATCTTTTAAAATTTCTCTTCAGAGTAGGCAGATTAAACATTTAACTTTCTATTTTGATGTACAAGGATTCATCCAAGAACAACTTGTGAGCTTTAACACAGCACTAATTGTCACCTCCAGGAACTGGGGAGGACCCACTCACTCAAAATGAATAAATGCTTATTTTTGTAACCCCTGGAAAGTCAGCAAAGCTAGAGATCTCTAAATGAGCTCATCACACTGTGCTAACAATCAACTCTAAAATGATTTCTAGTAAAGATGTATAGTAGGTAAACCACTTATCTGAGATTTTAGCAAAGCACGTCCAAACAAAATTTAATTTAGAAGACAAAGAATAGTGACGTTTTGGGGCTGCTACTCAAAACAAAATGATTCATTTTTAGAGCGCTAAAATGCATGATCATAGTTCAAGCACTCCACACAACAGTCTTCCAACTTACAATTTTCAAAGTAACAATAATACTGGCTAAGAGATCTATAGAAAATGGAGATAAGGAAGACGTGTTTCTTTTCCGCAAAGACTGTTACTCGGTATTTTTAGCTATCATCTCAATGTACTCTTTAAATTGCATTAAAAAAATCAATAGAAATTCCAGGGAAACAAGTTAATAGATGCTTAAAACATGATCAGCATTATCTTGAGTAGCAACAACAACAAAGCAAATATAAACAGTATGTGCAACCTCTGTTAGTTTATACTAATAATTTCCTCCAGTCATTTGACAGATCAGCTCTCATTTGCAATTCTGTGTAGTTTTTGCATCTGATGGTCACAGCAAATTCTGTGCCATTTAAAAGTATAAAGTCCCTTTCTTCTGAAAGGGTGGGGAAATGTCCTACATGGAACACTAGGGATTGCCTTTAAATAGCTCCCTTCAGAGCCCTGAATTACACTTGTCTGGCTCCTTGCTAAATACTGACTAAGCTTCATCTGTAAGACATTATTTACTCACTGGGCCAGTAAATGCAAGCCCATTGACTTCCTGCATATCAGGCACAAAAGGAGAAATATCAGAAGTATTTCTTGTTAAATAAATCATTTTACAGAGATCTACAACTATTTAAAAACATAGGGAGCTGTTCTAAACAGATGAAGGAAACTGTCTGAGTTATAGAACTATTGAGTAAGTGGCAGAGGAAAATTATGGGAAGAAGAGTAAAAATTGCAAAGTGATACTCCAACACTGTAAGATTAGTGCAATTTCATCCTTCTGCTGTCGATTGCAATCAATACTATAAAAAACTAAATCTTTTACATTGTTATAAAATTGACCAGGAAGTGTCACTTACCTTTCGAACAATACTGTCTTCTACATTGGATTTTTTATTGCTGCCCTGCTTACCCATTAAAGTTATTTCTAGTTGACAAAATGGTTTGGGCAAAATATCACACTGTGTAAAGAATTTCCGCCATTCTACTATGTATGCTTTTAGTAATGCTGTATCATCTTGATGACTCAGTACTCTCTGGAAGAAAAGAGCAGCTCATTTGTAAACAAGTTTTTACATAAACAACAGAAGGCTTTGTTGACATGATAGAAGTATTTTTGGTATAACCTAAGGTTTGAATTTAAGGCAATATAATCTCTCTGTAACCATTCTGATTCTGGTTTGAATGGATTTTTTGGGGGTTAGATTACGCTGCCTGTGACAAAGTTTGGCTTTTCTTGGTTTATTTATTCTTACACCAGAATAAATGTCCACATGGAAATTATATCAGTGTAGCCAGTCTATGCAGGAAAATTTAACAAAGACTGTATTTTACCTTATATGCAGTAAAAAGCTGATCTAGTGATCTACTGATCTGGCTCCAGACACCTGAACTTTATTTAAGCTTCACTAAGTATGTCCTACACGTGACAAACAATTTAGGCATTCTGTGCTAGACACTGCAAAAACATAAGTTTACAGAAACAGCAACTAGTACAGATCATGCCTATGGCCCCAATTCAACAAATTGTTTAAGCTTATGTGTAAGTACCAATAAAGTCAATGGGACATCAGCATGTGTAAGAGCTTTGCCAGATAGGGATAGTCAGCTGCATCCCAGCCTAGATATAAAAGTGCTTTGTTTGAGTAAAAGGCCCCTTATGGTGTTTAAGAGTTTCTAGGAACACATTAGATTTATTTTTCTTTTCCAAATTTTTGTGTTTGTACACCTTTAAACTTTCTACAAAAACTCTTATGGAGCATGCAACAATGTTTTTTAGAATAAAACTCTCAAAACTAGGTGTCAAGTCAATGGTAGATCAAAGCTACTGAAATACAAATGGCCTATGGAACTTGTCAAGTTGGTAACTCTCTAATATTCTGTTGGAAGACTCTGTGTTTGACCACCTCTTAAGCAAAACCATGAATACGCTAAAGGAGTGCCGAAGCCAGCTAAAACAATTAATAAACTTTCTTTCCTTGCTTTTAAAAGTTAAACTTTATTTCCAGACATTTTCTTATAGAACCCAAATTCTGGCTTTAGCAATCTGACAGTTAATAGTCAAACAAATATTTTTAATTTTTGGAAAATATTTAAGACATCATAGATTTGATCTCATCTTTTTAAATCAGCAAAGAGACCTTTAATGCCTGCTAAATTTAGAATATTCTAGCTATTTCTGCAGCAAACAAGACTGCTTGCAGCTCACAATCCCCAGAATGAAAAAACAGAACTATAAAGAGGGTTTTACTATTCCTTTTCCATCTCACTCTCTCTCTAATCATACAAGAGAGACGACTTTAATGCTTAACTATTCCTCAAGTCAGTTTCAGTAGTAAATGCTTTTATTTAGAAGTCAAAGAGACAAGTGTTGAGAAAGATTATTTCCAAGGAGGGTCCCTTTTAAACAATGGATGCACAAAAATAATGACCAAATCTCCTGGACAGTATATAACAATTACTACCTCTTTATACTCAAGAGCAGATTGAGAAGTACTTAACTTTTTTGGCCAAGGTAAACACTCAGAATAAAATTATTGTTAACAAAAAGTTTTCAATATACTTGTGACATTTAAAACAAGGTCCACCAATACCTAAATGGCAATTTTTCATTGCATTAGAAATTACTGGAACAAATCATGTTTGGGATCCAAAGAGATTTACAGTTATACTTTTATGTTTTAAAGGACAGTGAAAAATTATTGAAGGTTGAGTACTTACTGCCTGTGCTTGTTTAATGAAATCAAGGATGTCCTCTTTCAAAGCTTGATGGATTTTTGCTGGACCTTTGTCATCCCACAAGCAAACTGCATGCACATCCCTAGAAAACAGTTTATGCATCTTTCAGTAAGAATTTCTCTTCAAATTTAATGCAGAAATGTATAAAGTCTAAACAGTTATAATTTAAGTAGTTCTTTAAAGGAAGCACGTGAAATTTTACATACTAAACATTAAACCCACCAACAAAGTGACTGTGAATGAGGGCACATACTTCTCTTTCCTAAAAGCCCTTCATAAATTATTTTGATATGTATAATACAATATTTAGGGCTACTGATTTTATGTTTATCTGATAAACACCCGATACAAAAAGGAATAAAATAAAATAATAGCTGTGGATCCAAAGCACACCAGCTGGGTACTTATATTTGAGGGCTTGTCTACACAGAGCAGTAATGCAGTCTATATAGTTGTGATTTCTGAAATACTAAGTGTTGCATGTTTATTGGTCAAGATGGTAAGCACTACAGATTCCCTAGTGCATTTTAATGTAGTGCTTTTGAAACAGTAGTATTTTAAAGTGCACTAGAAAACAATACAGATTACTCAGTAGGATATATAAACTCTGTAATGAGTAATGTATACAGTTTAATACATATTATTCATTATAGTATATAAAAAGAGAAAGTCCCCAACCTCCCAATTATTGATAGCTACATAAACTCAAATTGCCAAAAATAAACTCAAAAAATAAATTCATAAACCTAAAGTGATTCAATGTAGGGAAGTATCCCCATTATACAGATATGAAAGTTGAAACCGAGCAGGCTGAAATGACTTGGCCAATGTCATGCAGTAACTGTGTTAGAGCTGGGAAATGAGCCTAGATTTCCCGAGTCTTTCCTCAGCTAATGTCTGACGCTCCCAGCAAGTAAAATAGTCTCCACAGCTTCTCTAAATATTGAAAAACTATCATTTGGTACACACTGGGGATGTGAAGGACTAGTTGACTATGTGATAAGCAAACAATTATCAGATAGTCGACAGGATAGGCGACTAGTCACACTTCCCCCGCCGCCTCTGAGATTGAGGCAGCAAGAGGGATGGGGAAAGAAGACGGGGTACTTCAAAGTGGCATCAGCACATGGAGCCCAGGGTCAGCTGCTCCGAGTGGTGCTGCTACTTTGAATGCCAAAGGGAGCCCAGTGTCTGGTTCCTCACAGCATTTCAAAGTGACAGTGTGCACCGTGTGGAGCCCAGGATCAGCTGGAGAGTCCCCAGCTGAGCCCAGTCTTTCTGTGTGCTGCCAGTTTGAAATGTCGCATTTTGCCGCATGGCACCCAGGATCAGCTGGGGCCCCTGCTGACGCTTTGAAATGCAGAGAGGAGCCTGACACTTCCCCCTGCCATTCCTTCCCTTGGGTGGCAAATTCTCTGTGGGGCAAAAAGCCCTGCGCTTGTCAGCTCTCTGCCAATGAGGAGACCTGTCCCCTGCCTGGCTGCGACCGGGCCGAAGCTCTAAACTGTTGAATTGTTTGTGTAAAACACTTCTCTACCCGGCCCACCCTGAGCCAGGGCTGGGACTTATAAACTGTTAGCCCAGGCTACACGTTAGGCTGGGCCTTATACCCTGTCGCTCAGCCCACGGCTAGGCTGAGGCATGCCACGCAAATTTGTTGGCAACTACGGCACTGCAACTGCCCTCTGGCGGGGCACTCTAGGGAGTCAGAGTGACCTCCCACTGACATTGGACCCTGTACACAAGGTAAGAAAATTGTTTTTGTAAACGTTTCACTGAAATTATTTTTTCTTCTGCATAGTAAAATTTCAAAGCTGTATTAAATGAACATTCAGTTGAAAAATTTTCAAAGAACAACCATAACGTTGTATTCAGAGTTACAAACATTTCAGAGTTATGAACAACCTTCTTTCTTGATGTTCACAATTCTGAGATTCTACTGTACTCAGGCAAGAGAAAGACCTACTCACCCACATTTTAATTTCTTAAGATATTCAGCATATAAGTATCAATACTCTTGAATCTGCTCCTTTGCGCACCATGGTGGGAATTCCAACTTCTAAAACTATTACCGTAATTTGTTCTAAAGCTACTAGTTCCTCCACACAGAGTGATAAATTAATGCTAATTATTTGAATCACTTTAGTCTTAGTGGCCCCAACCAGGATTCAAGGCCCTCTGTGCTGGGCACCGCATAGAGAGTAAAAAGCAATTTAGTTGCTGAATATCAAAGAAGGTAATTTTGGGGGCTTTAATAAAGATTTTATGTAGGGAGAAATGATACCTCTCAAAACAAAACGAGAATGTAATTTCACTTTATTTGGGGAATAATTTAAGAAATTGTTTGTCAACCATCTCTTGGAAATGGGTTTTATAACACTGACAGATAAAGTTGTAATTAATACCTAGAGGTCAAATCTAAGCAATGCCATATTATGCATTCAAAGAAAAACTGTCTTGTAAATTTCCTGGATGACCATAAATTAGATTAAGATTGCTCATGTAGCAGACTTGACAAGAAATAGTCATAGCAAGCTTTAAAACACCAATGTGCTGTAGCATAACAGATTCACTGACATATAAAATACACTTCTTTTGGAAACAGCAAAATACATTCACTTAGTACCAAAATAAACAGATGGATCTCTTAAGAAAATTTGAGTTGATCTTTTGACATGGAACTTCTGAAGAAGGATTAACAGCAGTGGCAGACAGACATGGAAAAACATCAGCAGAATGACTAGAGTAGATTATCACCACTTTCTGAAAGAGCAGTACAAGAGAGATCTCTCTCTGAATCATAGAATCAGTCAAAGAATTATAGAAATAGAAGGAACCTCAAGAAGTCATCAAGTCCAGCCCCCTGCACTCATAGCAGGACTAAGCACCAACTCAACCATCCCAAAAAATTTAATTGTCTAACCTGCTCTTAAAAATCTCCATTATGAAGAATCCACATTAGAACATAAGAACGGACATACTGGATCAGACCAAAGGTCCATCTAGCTCAGTGTCCTGTCTCGTAACAGTGGCCAATGCCAGAAGCCCCAGAGGGAGCGAAAAGAAGAAGTAATCATCAAGTGATCCATTCCTTATCACCCATTCCCAGCATCTGACAAACAGAGGCTAAGGATACCCTTTCTACCCATCCTGCCTAATAAGCATTGATGGACCTATCCTCCATGAATTTATCTAGTTGTTTTTTGAACCATAAAGTCCTGGTCTTCACAACATCATCTGGCAAGGAGTTCCACAGGTTGACTGTGCATTGCATGAAGAAATACTTCCTTTTGTTTCTTTTCAACCAACTACCCATTAATTTCATCTGTTAACCCCTAGTTCTTATGTTATGGGAACAAGTAAATAACTTTTCCTTATTCATTTTCTCCATACTTGTTATGATTTTATAGACTTCTAACATAATCCCCCTTAGTTACCTCTTTTCTAAGCTGAAAAGTCCCAATTTTTTAAATCTCTCTTCATATGGCACCAATTCCAAACCCCTAATACGAATGTAACTATTCAAAACAGCAATTAAACTATTACAACTATATTGTTTAGACAGTTAACCACTGGTGGGCTGGTGCAGGGCAGGGGTCTCACTGGGCCATGGGACTCCCAGTGTGGCTGAAGTCCTGCCCACCCCCACCCAGGGTAGCGGTGGCACCGCCTGCTGCCCTGACCTGTCTGGGTTCCCGCCACCCAGCTTAATGCAGCTGGCAGCCTGGTTAACCAGTTACCTAGTAAGCATTGTAGTAAGCCTAATACTTATCAGGTAACTAGTTAACCTTTTATACCCCTAATTCCAGCAGTAATTTAAGACCATAGCTTCTCATGATAGGACGAGATGTTAAGCAGAATAATTTTTCTCCCTGTTCCTTGTAATAACCTTTTAGAGACTTGAAAGCTGTTATGTCCCCTCTCAGTCTTCTCTTTTCCATACTAAACAAACCCAATTCTTTCAATCTTCCCTCATAGGTCATGTTTTCTAGCCCTTTCCACATACATTTATTGTCAGAGTAACACTGCCTGAAGACCATATATGCGGACGTTATTGTCAAACCACTATAAAATATCTAATCCTTAATTGCAGGAGGGTACAAAAGAAGTTTATCTTCAGCTGCAGTAGAACAAAAGTATAAAAAAAACAATAAGAAAGTTGTGCTTTTTTTGTGTGGAGGCATGTATCACAATAAGACACCTTTATAAAACTGTATTTAAGAGAAGCAGATACAGCATGGCCATGTGGAAATAGATGAAGATAAAACGGATAACAAAACTACTAGTTAGCTTGGCTTCATTAAATAGTAACTCTACTGTATTTGACTTCTGCATTACAAATACTAATAGAAATAGTTTTATTTCCATCTTATTACCCAAGAACTGGAAGTTTAAAAAAAAAAATCACTTACGAAAACAGATCAAACCACTGCTGTTTTGTGACAGATTCCTGGCGTAACAGCTTCAGAACAATTGGGCGCATGAAATCCCATTTGTCTTCAAACTGAAGTGAACCTTTATTCTTTAAAGAAGAAACAAAAAGCATAATTTAAATGTAGACCAAGTAAAACTGAACCTCTAAGTTAATTAGGATAGTTTGAGAGCTTCCACATTTTCTAATACTTCCTTTTACTTCACATTAAGGACTACTATAACCAAAAGCTAAATAAACAAATTAACACTCAATTTTGAATAAAATTGACAAACTTTTAAAAAGTTCAGTTAGTTCTAAGAGTTAAGAGAGATGACCTATTTTACAGAATAGACAAAAAACGTCTTCCAAATTTGTACATTTAAAATTTTGATACATAGCAATTTATGTTTAACACGTTTAATACATAAAATCTTAATTTTGTGATTTAAAATTACAGTCTGATGGATTGTACTTCAATAAATAATATGATCTTGTTATAGATGTCTCATATAGCCTTCTATTTGAATTGTCATATCTACAATATTCAAATTTAACTAAGTTTTTCAAGGCAGAGACTTCAACTTTTTTCTTTTTTGAAAATCATCATGTGCACCTACAAATTCTGTATTGTATTTAGAATACATCATGGTCATGCATTTTAGTTATACGAGAATGGCAATTGGGAATGTTTCATATGTATTTTAATTATTCATTACTATAAACTTTATTCTGTATGTCACTTGATATGGCTTTTTTAAAAATTACATTAAATTTTATGAAACAAAGCTATATGTTAATTATCTAATTTAAGAAGTACAATCTGATCTCTAACTGACCTATGTTTCCTAATGTTTGAATTCCAACATTCTTTAGAGGAAATATGCACTCAGACTATCCACACATGTGAGAAGTGAGGGGAAAAACCCCCTCACTTTAGCCCCCCAACTGAGAAGGAGAAAGACATTCCTCTTGCACACCAAAGTCATGGGGAGCCCAGCCTACTAGATTTTGTGCACTCCAGCCCCAGGGAAAAGGCAGTGGGGCTGGAGCACCAATGTGGGCTTTCCAATGCTGGGGGACGGGGGAGGAGAGAGACATGAGCCTCGTGGGCATCCAGGCAAGCTGAGGTTCCCCAGCCCTGTGCTAGAGAGTACATGAAATGTAGTTGTAACTAACTCTAAATTTAACTAAATTTTGTCAACTGTTATTGTAGTATTATCCAGGACCCCCAATCAAAACTGGAACTTCACTCCGCTGAGCCATAAATAAACACATACAAGGACAGCCCAGCCCTAAAAAGCTCATACCACTTTCACTGTCAAAAATTAACATACGCTAGGTGTTTTCATAGCTTGACAGTCACCCCCGTGTTTCTTGTAGATCCAAGCAGTCAGAGGAATCTAGATTTCCTGTGAGTTTCACATGACACTTCACAAAGCAATCTCTGTTTCTCATGAAGTACATATAACAAGGCAAGAACCAGCAACTCCCAAACTGGGGATTGCAACCGTTTGAATGGAATCACCAGTGCTGGCATTAGACTTCCTGGGGCCTGGGTTTGAAACCTATACCTCACTGCCCAGGGCAAAGCCCAAACCCCACTTCTGCCTGCTGAAGCTGGGCAGCAGGACTCAGGCTTCAGCTCTGAGTGGCAGAGCGCAGGCTAAAGCCCTTGGGGTTCACTTTGTCTGCCCTATCCCCCACCGAGCAACAGGACTCTGACTTTGGCCCCACTACCCAGGTCGGCAGGGTTCAGGGGGTCATGTAGCACTTTGTTATCAGCACCGTACAATGAAGCTTGAGAACCCTGGAGCCAGACTATTCCAAAGCTTAAAACATTTATTGGAAATGACAGTTCTTTTGAGTTTGAGCTCAAAAATTCTTTAGCAAAGATTGACTGACTTACCATACTGCATGTCCGAGCACATTTATCCTTTCGTAAAGCATTTAATCTTTCCAGACATTGTAATGACTGTTCCTCCTTAGTGGGGATATAAAGGGTTAACCAGCTACCTGGTAAGCACTGCTTTACCGGCATGCTTACTGGGGTAACCAGTTAACTGGTGTCTGGTCTGGCCAGAGCAGACCCTGCACAGTGCAGCGGGCCCTACCCAGCCTTCCCCTGCCCACACGGTGTGCCACGGGTCTGCTCCCCTCTGGTTGGGCCTACCGCTCCACTATGAAGTTGGTAACTATCAAAATTTAAGATTAGAGAATAAAATGGCAGATGAAATTTTAACTCAGTATTGGTCAGATGAAAAGGAAGGAAGGGGTACAGATGAACTTAAAGGCATAGATGAAGCAGCTGAAACTGATAAAGAAAAAGATGCATAAAGAGTTGGCTTGCTGTCTTCCTAGCATAGGTGCATTTTAAAAACAGTTTATTATGTATTTTTTCCATTTTTTTAAATTTCGTTTCTTTTGTAACTCTCCCATTTTTCACTTTAATTTTTTAGAAATTCATTGTTTCATGTTTTCCTGAGTTAAAATAACAAGTTATTTGTTTTTGTAATTAGATAGTTATTTATATCTATGACTAATACCACTGGAAACCTTTTTGTTACTGTTCTAATAAGTTAGTGTTTTTAAATCTCTCACCCTTTTGACATGACAATATTTGTCCCATGTTTGACCAAACAATGGTTTTGATTGGTTAAATGGCCAACCCTAATCTGAATTCTCTTTGAATTCTACATAGTATCTTTGAAAATGATTAACTGAAAGTTTCTTTCTACTTGGTTCTATTTTCTTAAGTCAGTTAGGCCATCAGAAGTTGCCTGCTTAATCTTTTCTTGTACCTTCGGCAAGGTTTCAACATCTGTCAGCACTTCTGGTCCTGATCAACTGCTCCGACAAAGATAACAGACTTGACAATTTGTTTAACAGGATTTGCCATTGCAGATATCACAAACTTGTTGTTATACTTACAACTTTCTGAAAATATTTTGTTTTGGGCTGAAATTTCACAAGTTTGGTGTTGGTTCAAAGGTGGGGTTTTTATAAGTGGAGAAAAGTCTATTCCGCCATTAAGGTTAAAAGGGATAGCAACAGAATATACTTTGTTTGCTTTTTAAAGCAGGAACACACAACTATTCAGACTTGTTTGCAAATAAGAAAACAAATGCAGTTGAACTTTAAAATCTCATGCTTTGCACCTGGGCTATAGGAATATGAATAGTCTTTTTGCTAACTGACAAAATAGAACTAGGACTTGAACATATCTGAGCATATTTTGGAAATGCAATTTTTAAATGCAACATACAATTAGAACTAAATAAAAAGGGGGCTCTGTCCAAAACAGCTCCCTACACTCCTGCTCCAGAAAACTTGAGTGAATAAAAAAATAAAAAATAAAAAATAAAAAATCAACCTTGAGCCATGCCCTCAAGGCTTGATACAACACAGTGAGGCAATTACAAACACAACAGTGTCTACAGTCTCCTTGTAACCACTCCTCAGAAGTTCATATCTAGGGGAAGTTAATGTAAGGGCCAAAATAAATCTTAACTTTCATGCTGATTCACAGGAAATTAAATCAACACCAAGCCTATAGTGCAGCCGTTTCCCATGACTCCCCTTTGCTGCAAACAGTGAAATGGAGCCAGTAGGAGCTGCAAGGCTCCATGGCCAGGGTACTGGTAAAACAAACAAGCCAGCGTGGCCAGTCAATATCTCTCTCAAAGTGGTTTTGTGGACACCAGAACTCTTCTTTCTAGAGACATGGCTACAGCAGCGCAGCTATAGCGCTGCTAGCGCACTTAGGTGTGCATAATTTATGTCGCTCAGGGAGGGCCTCTTATTCACACCACTGAGCAACACAACTTAGGCTATGTGCATACTACAGCTTACGCAACACACGCCTTTAAATTAAAACCACTAAATGAGCAAATAAGCAGTACTGCCTGAACTTTTCAAGTGGTCATCAAGCACAGATCCACATAATATGCATCCACATTAAAAGCTGCAGTTGCAATCCAAAAGAAAATATCTTCCTTCTAACTGGAAGCACAGTACCTTACAGAGAGGCCCAACACTGCCTTTGATTCTCAACTGCTAAAAAGTAAGACATGAGACAAGGAGAAAGTACTGGATTTCTGACCAAAGCACTGACTCTGGACCCTGCTTTTGAGTCTTTGAGAGAGAGAGAGAGAAACAACTTGTTCTGCATCTGCAGGAGCCCTGACCACATGACCACTCTGTAAAATGGAAGGGGACAGTGGCTCCATTCCCACGTGCCCCGTGGACTAATGGCCACCTGCCTCTGGGCCCCACCCCCAGCCTGCCCAGCTCACATGCCTGCCACACAGCATGGCTCTGTGCTCCCCTGGCTCAGGCATGCTCTCCCAGCCATTCTGCAAGCTGGGCCACTTTTGAATAC